TGGGATCCAGAGGAAGAGAGAGAGCCAAACTTTTTCCAAAGTTAACCTATTTTAGAATTTCTTCCTTAACAAATGCTACCCATATCCGATACATATCTGATTCAAATGCGACCTAACGTCCACGTTGCATTCATCCGAACTGAATGTCACTGATTCTCAACAAATGGCACTATTCTGCGTCCTGATACGCGAACAAGCGGGAAGAAAAACAACAACTATGACGGACTATAATGAAGATTAAGTTGTTAATATGCTGCTCCGGCCGGTAACAACTTCAAATATGTAAGCTAAGCTCCACCAGTAGCCTCCATGTTTACTTCCGCAAACCAGTTATCAGAACACTAAGAACGCTGACGCTATGGCGCCCTCTACTGCGCATGCGGGACACTTTCAGGTAGTTTGCACGTTCAAACTGCAGAACGCAAACAGGTTGCATTCTTGGCAGTGTGAATTGGGTCACTCAGGCTGCAGTGTGAACGCACCCAAAGAGACAGAGAGTAAAAAGGTAGGAGTGGTTTTGAGTTGATCGTCTTTTTGTGTTGTTTTACCTTTGTTTACCTTTGCTGTGGCTCATTACACCTGCTGTCGTTTCTGAACATTCAATAAACGACAAACTTGGACTAATTACCTCGTTCGTTTGTCAGCATACGCCACAACAAACATCAAATAAGACAATATATATTTCATTAAGTTTTAACTAATTTTACTGCGATAATTATGTGAAAATAAATTAATTATATCCCGACTTCAGAAGATTTGCCTTTACCTTTACTGGGCTCTTTGGTTCCTCCTATCAGTCTTCTCATATTGAAGTCATCAAACCAAATTTCAGATCTACCATGACTGACTGACACCTGCTAGCGTCAGGTTTGCAACCAGCTTCTGACTGAGAAACCAGTGTAAGTGAGTTTGCTCTAAAGTTGAAGGCACTGTTCGGGTTTGTCACCGCTTTCAACCTGGAGTGTCGGCCAGAACACCACTTAGGCCAGGATTCAGCTCAGGACCAGATGTTAGGATGAGGTGCAGCAGATGTTTTAATGAAGACACGAGGCAGGATCCTTTAACTGTTCTGTATTCCAAACTGTATCACAGATATTGATCCAATGAATATGGATGGGCATAAATGTGTGTCTACATCAGAGGTTCCCAAACTGTGGGGCGCCATTGCAAAGGGGGCCGGGGTGCGCGGGAAGCCGTCTGGATGTAAAAAAAAAAACAAAAAAAAACAAACAAAAAAACACGAACGCTATATGTGCTCGGTTTTTACCTTAGAATGGCCAACTCTCTGTTATTCCTATGTCAATTTGATACAGTAGGGGCTTCCGAACTTCCCATATCTGTGTCCTCTGTCACCTTTATCAGCAGTTAAAACTGTTTAATCCGTT